TCAACAACAACCAGCTGAAGTCACTGCAGGGTGAACTGTCAGAGGTCATCCTCACCTTCAGCTCCATTAACGACACACTGAAGGGCCTCGAACACACTGTGCACAAACATGGCAGCGTCATCACTGACCTTGGTAGGCCTAGGCCACGCCCACTCGTACACCTCCAAACTATAGGACACAAATGACAACGATTACATGAGGATTATCCAGTCTGACACCCCCGCCCCTCCACCCCCTCACAGGAAACACCAAGGACAAGATCATCTCGGAGCTGGATAAGATCCAGTTGGAGGTGACGGAGCACACTGAAGACACCAGGGACCGTCTGGAGGACCTGAACCGGGACCTCCAACGGCTGGAGAACACGGTGGTCTCAGACCTGGGTGACTGTAAACGGTCTGGAGACGGGCTGGAGAAGAGGCTGTCCAAGTTGGAGGGCGTGTGTGGGCGGCTGGACAGCGTCTCTGAATCTGTGGTCAAGATTAAGGAAGGTAAGGCTGACTCACACAACAGAAGCACCTGCTGCCCCCTCATGGCATTTACAGGCATTACACTGGCTGTGTAGCAGTGGGATACAGTAATTAATATTTACTGTAAAGTAAAAGTAAACGTTGACTGACAGCGGCTGCTGTGACACACAGGAAGTTGTTGACTCACTGCCGCTCCCTACAGTCAGATGAAAATATAAAAGTATAAATATAAAACCTTTTGTCTTTAGTGCAGCCTTCAGTAACACTTCAATAAGCTCCATTCATTGTATAAAAACAGCTGCTGCTGCTGTTGTTGTTGTTTATTTGTAGCGGTAAAGTTTTCCTGTATGTGTTGTTTTACCCAGGACTCAATCGTCAGGTGTCCAGTTTGTGGACTGGGTTCTCGGGGGTTAATGGCACGCTCATCAATCAAAGACGAGACCTAGATGTTTTATACAAGAACCAGGACAGTATCAATGGCAAGATGAAGAACCTGAACCTCACCATAGACCAGATCCTGAAGGATGTGAACAGATTCTCTGAACTGGAGCTCATCGGTGAGTGGGCATCAAACTACAGACCCTGAGGGACAGAGGGCTGAGGGATACATAGTATTACATTACATTATATTATATTGTTGATGAATTATTTTATTATTTACTATTTGCACCGTAAGAATCCATGAAGTACAGTATAGAAAACTTCAGGCCAGAAGTAACGCAAAATACAAACAGCCAGTTAAACCAGGTTATATAAAATGTTATTGGAACATATTTCTGAGACAATCTTCTGTGATAGGCAGAGAATATTTGTTTTAAAAAATATATCCAGACGAACTCGTGTTTATATACAGATGTCAACTGTTCAACTCTGCCTCCTACTGGAGGACTGTGTACACACTCATACACACACACACACACACACTCAGGTTGATGCCAACAATGTGTCTGATTTATTGGCGTGTACTTGAACTTTGAAACCGCAGCAGGAAGCTGTGAGTGATCAGTAAAAGGAACTTCCTGAGTGTGAGAGCAAATATCAGGAAATGTTCTCTCTGCTAAATCTAATCACTGCTGGATCAGTGCCCCCCCCCCCCCACACACACACACACTTCAACTCACTGATGACACTCGTCTGTGTTACTGTATTTATGCAGCGACTCAGTAACGACCAATGATGGAAAAGCAGCGTTAAAATAACTGCGTTTTTATATTGTAGTAATTCAGTTACTAACTCTTTTTGGAAGAACTAGTAACTATAAACAATTAGTTTTAGTAACAAGCCCAACACCAACAGCACCACAGTCACAAAACAGGTGAGAAACACTGCCATCTACCTGCATGCATACATACATACATACACAGTGTGTCTATGTGTGTGTGCCTTCCCTTTAACTACAGACTGTGATGCTCCTTTTTGTAAAGTCTACCAGAAATGTAAAGAACACAAATGTCTGTATCCACTCCATTGTCCCGGTCCTCTGGCACTGACGACATTTCGTCTGCTTCCAGCTTAGCTATGTCCATTTTTGTGGTTAAAATTCAGAAAAAAAATATATTTTTGGACGTCAACTTTGGGTCACAGTAAAATATTATACCAATAAGTTCATGAACAAATCTCCGAAAAAAAAAGTTTCTCAAAAATGACACTCATTTGCCTTCACCCTCCTGTGGTGTTCACCGCACACGCTGTCAAATTTGACCAGCCTGTTTTCACTGCTTATAAACTACCACAGAAATCAACACCAAACTTTTATTTGACACTCTTTAGCTGTGAACAGTGCCTCAGAGTAGTGGTTAACATGAAAAACTACATTAGAAAAACCAAAAGGCACGGAAAATTTATAACAAAATGAAAACCAGAGACCAAACTCATCAACATGGTGTTTGTGTGTGTGTGTGTGTGTGTGTTAATAATAAATAACACTGATACATAACATATCAGTGTTTTTACTGGTTTTTCTCCAATAGGTCAAACAGGACCACCAGGGCCTCAGGGAGAGAGGGGGTACCCTGGGCCCCGGGGCCCCCCTGGACCTCCAGGAGAACAAGGACTGAACGGTGCTGTTGGTCTGCCTGGTGAGATCCTGACTAAACAATGGGCTAGAAAATGTTTTGACATTTGGATTCTCAGAAGAACCGTCCCTCTCGTCTTCCCCCCAACAAAATGTCATGGTTTTAAAGTGTAAGTGGATGAGGAACATGTTCTTGTTTTTAGGAATTCCTGGTGCTGATGCTGACGTTCCCAAACTGTCATTCTCCGCCGCTCTCACCATCCCCATGGACCGGGCTGGAACCATCATCTTTGACAAGGTCTTTGTCAACAAGGGGGGTTTCTATGACTCTAGAACAGGTGAGTCCCCTCAGCTGAGTGTCCATTGGTCCATCATTCCATTGTTCCTGTAATGACCTTTTTTAGTGACATTTTCTTCCATGTTGTTTCCAGGCCACAGTGTAGATCACAGATGACACAGGGAAACAAAACACATTTATTTTAACCACCAACAACTAACAGTTAGCAACCGACTAGATACAGTTAGGCTAGAGAAGACGGCGTATTTATGTATTGTAGTAGCTGATGATTGTTGTCAAGAAATTTTAAAAGAAACAAAATAGCTAAAAGGTAGCTCAGTAGATGGCTAAAATTAACTAATAATTAGCCCTGAAAAAGACAATGCAAATGCAAAACAGCAAAAATGTCTGACAGACAAAATTTCTTTAAAAATTCCACAACTCCAGAATAGAAGTAACCTTTTTCACAAATCACGGTCGGAATTAAAGAAAGCTATCTGTGCTAAACATAACTAACATGGAGCTAACAAATATCCAAAAAAAACAAAATAGGTGTTTAGGCTACCATGCAAATAGCTAGCTTAGAGTTAGCTTAAACACAGTAAGAACTGTTTTGTGATCGCCTTCTGATCTTTGTCATTTCTTTGACTTTTATTTCTACGTCTCCTCAGGAATTTTCACGGCTCCAGTAAACGGACATTACTTCTTCAGCGCTATTCTCACCGGACACAAGAATGAAAAGATTGAGGCAGTTCTGTCCAAGTCCAACTATGGGATGGCTCGGGTGGACTCTGGCGGCTACCAACCTGAAGGCCTGGAGAACAACCCCGTAGCTGAAGCTAAGATTACGCCGGGCGCCCTGGCCGTCTTCAACATCATCCTGCCGCTGCAGTCACGGGACACGGTCTGTGTGGACCTGGTGATGGGGAAACTGGCCCACTCCGTGGAGCCGCTCACTGTCTTTAGCGGTATCCTCTTGTACGAGGACCTGTGAGCACACACAACTGACACGTGACGACGCCACACATCCTGACATGACGTGGCCACAAAGGAAACATTTTTGTCAGTTTATCAGAGTTCTAATAGGCCAGGTCTGGAAATGTTAATGGTGAGCGTAGCCTCATGTTAGCGGCTAAAAACCGGGGGCTAACATTTCAGTGTTTGTCATGGCTAACTTTGTAACTATCAGTAACACATAGTGTTTTAGCGTCCATGGTTGTTAGAACACCGCTCACCAAAAAACCCTCGTTTTGGTCAAACTCACAGTTATTGGAGACAAATGTTGAGTCATGGTTGGGAGTTTGAATATAAAATATTTCAGAGCAGCTAACATCTTTCTAAACGTTTGCACTAACTCCCCCAACTATGACTTAACTAAACCAGCCAGCACTAGTTAGCAACCGCCTCCTCTAATTTACAACAGCATGATTTTATAAGGCTAGTCTATAAAATATAAAACTAAATTTTAATGGCTAGCAGTTTTAATCAAAATGTCTTTTTTTACACCAATTTGATTAGTAAGCACATGCTGAATCTAGTTTTGATTACAGAGAAACGTTAACAGAATTTTTCCTTGTTTAGCTCACTATTGTTTAGGAATCCTAGAGGTGTTTTAAACTAAATTGAATTTGGTCAATAATATTAAATCTAATGAATGTGGATAGCTAATACATCAAATCAAACCTTAATTGTGCGTTAATAAAAATGCTGGATGCTCATCGTCGTTACTTCATCGTTACCAACTCTTGCGATGATATCAGCCTTGACAGACACTGCATTGCTAGCCTCCTAAAGACAAGGCTTTCAGTAGGTATCAGGCCACACCCACTGATGAGTGGGAACGTAATTCGTACAAACTAAGCATGGCGAGGAATCTCGATTGACACTGATGAGAAGAGGATGTGAGGAGTGTCTGATCGGGTCACATGACCTGATTTCACACAAACTTTCTGCTTTCCATTCCAGTCTGTGGTGCCATTACTGCCATCTGCAGACTTTGTAGGTTATTGCAGCCCCATTGTTCAACAGCACACTGACCAATGGCTGAATTTCCTAGAAGGCTTATCACCAGAGGAGCAGGACTGAAACTTGGGCTCAATCATTGACATTGAGTTGTACTAACAACAACAGTAAATGTTAATCGTCTATTCCAGACTGAGCTAACAACTGTTGAGGCTATTTTTTAGACTATTTACGATTGTTAAGAAAATGTTTAACTAACAACGTGCTTTAATTTTAACTTCCAACAGATCACACACTCTGGACTTTCTTTACTCAGATTTACAACAGAAACAAAAACATAGGAACTCAACTCGGACTGTTGAATTAGTTGACACAACGATGCAGTTTACAGACTTTTCCGAGCTAACTTCATTTACATAATTAACCTGATTCATTTGAACATTTACTAAGATCAAAATTCTTTTGGGGCTAATGCTAAGCTAATAAAGTTATCCAGGCAGAACAAAGAAAAGTACAGTAAGTGCAAGGACTATGTAATGTTCTGCTGTGAAATCTGTGAGTTTAAACCCGTCCAAGTCGCCAGAACCTTTGGAACATTTCAAACATCTGAATATTACAACTTAAGACATCAATTTTACATATTTAACGAATTCTCCTCCAACAGAAATCTAGGAAAATGTGTATTTGTTTTTTGTTTTTTTTCTTCGTTTTTTTGTGCTTTATAAAAGCAGTGATGGTGTGTCTTTACACACTGTCACAGTTTGGATCTTTTGTATCGACCGGCACCTTCTTCTGTAGTTTTCATGTTTATATATTTAAACCTGATAAACATATGACATTTTTACAGTATAACTACAAGTTTAAAAGAAGCACAAAGTATGCAACTGTTTTCTAATTAAACACAGAAGGCATTAAATATAGGAAGATAGAAAAACAGCATGAAAAATCTGTCTGGGTTTCAGATAAGGATTAGTTTTTGAATTGTTATTTAAGTCACACAGTCTTTGACCTTCATGTATTAAATACACATGGATCACAACACGAGGGGTTGATTTTCTTCTTCTCTATGTAGATCAGTTGTTTAAAAACCACAGGACGTTCAGCACCAGAAGAAGTTGTTCTCCCTCTGGTGGTATGTGGAGAAACATTACTATAAAGATTAGAGTATTTGATGTGAAGTTTTCACACATCAACCTTTTATTTAAAACAATTTCTGAAAAAGTCTTAAAAAATAAAAAAAAAGTCCCCAAAAATGAATAAAAATACAATAATTTGCCTGATAATATGTTTCCAGACATTTTTTTATGCTTGACTTCTTTGAAAGAAATTTACTTTTGGTACAAACACCGAAACAAAAACATTTAAAATCATTTTTGAAATTTGTTTTTTGTCAAAAACATTAATTTTGAAGTTCCATAATTGCTAAAAAATATCTTTTTTACATTTATGGCAGTTTAAAGAGCAAAATTGATTTCTTTTTTGTCAAAAACAAATTTTGAAGTAAAAATTGTTTAAAAATATTGTGTTTACATGTACGCACATTGCAAAGGCGAACCTTTCAGTTCCCAAATCTGTTGTTACAACAAAAGATCCAAATATTTTGATTCCCAAATGGCTCCATTGACATTATTTGATATTGTCAAAAAATTAGGAACAATTTCAAAATTTCAAAATTAATGTTCTTGACAAAAAAAAAAAAAAAAAAAAAATCAAAAGAGCCATTTGGGTATCGAAAGATTAAGCTTTTTGTTGGAATAAGAAAATTGGGATTCATTGATCTTGGTTCTTAAAAATTCTGAACTTGAAAATTGTATAAAAGCACTTTTTTCTGAATGTTAACGACAAATATGTATTTTTCAGTAGGGGAGCGGAGACTACGCTGTCAATGCCAGAGGACCGGGACAACGGAGTGGATAAGTACATTTATGTTCTTCACATTTGTGGTACACATTACGAAAAGTAAATCTTGCATTTTAAAGCATTTCGGG